ATCCACGTACAAAATAATTAATAGAAACCTCTTTTTTAAATAATATTAATTTTATTAAATATCGTATGTATAATAATTGTCTTATTTTGTGTAACCATCTATTTGCGTTTTCCATAAGTTTGGAACACCAAAGACTAAGAATTTTAGCCTAAAAAATGAATTACAAAATTGGGTTATTTAACAATTTTATTAATATTTAACGAAAGGGGTAATTTTTATTTTAGAAATTGATTAAAAAGGAATCTTATAACACACACCAATTAGAGTTGTTTTCTATTATTGTTTGTACAGATTCCTTTTGCAAAAGGTTGACTATAATAATAATAATAATAATTTTTATTATAGCAATAATAAAGGGAAAATACACAAAATTTTGTTAGAAGTATAAAAATTATATCATAGAACATATGTATTAATTGTATGAATCGCTAAAAATACATGTCTTAATACATATTTTGATGTATTACTGTTAATCGAATTTTTGTATAGAAATTATAAAGATTTCCTAACTTTATAATAATAATAATAGTTAAATTTGTATACCTTTCATGTTTTAAAAACTCCATCTTTGGCTTTTTTACATGAAATAAAGATAGATTTATCTATAAACCAAGTAATAAAACTATATTATTATTTTTGTATATTTAAAATGTAGAAAAATTAAACTCGTATTTAGGAAAAGGTAAATATTGTTATGATTATTTTTTATACATGAAATTATGACACAAAAAATAAGAACTTCTAAATGAATGTATTAATCATCCAATCACCATGGTCATATATATATATATATGAATGATTGGGTTCACGTGAGATCAATGATTTTTTGTGAGACCCGTAAGACCAATTTATGTTCATTGATCAATTTTATAAAGCTAATGATCTAATGGTCTAAAGTTGTACGGTGACAATTTTGTGATTATTGAAAAATCTCGTGACAATTTTTTTATTATGAATGTTCAGATTGTATATCTAATCCAAGAGTTGAGAATTGGTCTTATGAGTCTCACAAAAAACCCTTGATCTCACATGATCCCAAGACTCTCTCTCTCTCTCTCTCTCTATATATATATATATATATATAACAATTGATTATTACAAAACTATGCTCCAATATTATTTTATTCTCAAAGTACCTCCTTGTTTTCGCTATATGCTCAAATATATATATATATATATAACAATTGATTATTACAAAACTATGCTCCAATATTATTTTATTCTCAAAGTACCTCCTTGTTTTCGCTATATGCTCAACTTTAGTCTTTCCATGTCCATCTCTCTCTCTCTCTCTCTTTCTCTTTCCATCTCTTTTATCTTTTTTGACACAAAGAAAATCATAGACTCAAAAACTCGGATGAACATTCAACCAAGAAGTAACAATCAATATTTATAGAGAAGATACAACACACTTCAAGTAAATACTTGTCCACATCTCCTTGTTTTCTTTACTTGATCTTCAACATATCTCATGGTCTTGCTATTGATGTTATGACGACACTGATCCAACGACTTCTATCTGATCCGAACAATTAGTAGAATAGTTCTTTTTTTTTTCTCTTTATAAGATACTGAACGTTTGTGCTCATCAAATTGGATTTAAGTCGGCGTGTGGTGTCTTTTTACGTAAGAAGATCAACCAAATGATTTATCTTGATCTTAATTTTTAGATTCACACCGATACAAACCTCAAACCTTTGGTGAATAAAAACAAGACCAAATGAAGATAGACGGATGTCGAAATGGCTCCACAAGGCATCTATCCAATTAAAAGCCATCAAGTGAATCTCAAGTTGAAGCCGATTTGGAGGCTTATCGATCAAGTTTTTACTCACCAACCTTTCAACAACACATGTCCTTTGATGTGGACATTCTCTAAAAGCGTTAGTAAAGGTATATTTGTTCTTGTCCACTTTTGCTATTCACACCATGCTCAAATGACAACTAGAGAATGTGTTATCACATCAATCTATGCTCCAAAAAGGTCCAAAGCTAGGTGAGTAGGTCAACTATGACAAACTTGTTTGTGGATGACAAATGTACCAAATGTTGACTAATGGCTACTATTATGCAACAACTCATCCCCCGTGGATATAATAGTATATTTATGGTCTCCTTATACGTTCAAATGATGGGATATCAATAATTCACCTCGTGGCTTTAAAGTTGCATTAGATATTATTGGGTCAGTTTGCTGTTTTGGCTATAGTTTATGTTTCGGTGCATTATTTTCAAGTTGATCATGGGATGTTATTTATATATGTGGAAAAATTGGGTTGTTACGAATGCTATTAGGGTTATTCCTTGTATCATCAATGTTGTTAAGGTAAATATCAACAAGCATAATGAGTCCCTAAGGGGTGTATGTAACATTTTAAGAGGATCCCATATCACAAATGAACATGAAAGATGCTGGGAGGACATGAAAAATACGTCACAAATTTAAGTGAGGGAGTCTGTAAGACCCTATCCCACATGGATAGAAAAGTAGATTTAAGGGATCATTATAATTTCATAACTACGAGGTACCACTAACTTCCATCATGGTTTTAAAGTTGATTTGTAGGTTATTGAGTAGTATGTTCCTTTAGGCTATAGAGCGTCACATTTAATGCTTGAGTTACTGCAAGAGGCATGATGCTCTTCCCATGCCCGGTACAGGAGCTTACATATTTTCTACGAGCAGGAATTCCAAGAAGAAAACTTCATGTTCTTGAGAGATCGATGTAAAACAATTTTTATCAGTTCAAATAGATTGTTTAGGTTAGGTTAATATTTCCGAAACAGTATGTGATTCTTTGATTTATATCAATGGGAATTAAAATTTGAAAAACTCGTAAATTTATATTCAATTCCCCATTTTACAAAAACTCTTGTATGTCTGCCATCCACTAGGGACCAACAATATTCATGAATATACTTGATGAATCTCACAACTTCTATTAACACGCATACCTAAAAATATAAGTAACTTACTAAAAATCATCTCAATTCAAGTTATCAGTGGAATGATACGACCTCATGATGGTTGCACGATAACAACTCGATTTAAACTTAATGATTTGCTTGATAGTTAACTAAACAGATGCTCAACGACATGCTCGATAAAAGCTCAATATATGTAGTGGACTTTGGTTGAAAACAATGCTCGATGGTACCTTATAGATGCTTAATGGTGCTTGATGGCATTAAAGGAAAGTTCCGTAAGTTACAAGTCTGCAAATATTTAGAAAAAGTGTAGTTAATCACGGAATTTTGAAATATCAATTATCGATGTGTTTTTTTATTTAAAATTGTGTATTTTTTAAACCTTCTATATAATAAAAAACCGTCTCCACCTTTAGTTTTTGTTTCGTTTTCTTAATATCAATTTTGACTTCCTAATAACTGTGACAAATCATAATTTTTCTATAAAACTGCTCCTTCAATTTTTTTAAACTTGAAGTAGTGTCTTACAAAAGTATGCAACTTAAAGAAACATCTTGATCGAAGGTCCAAAAGATATGAGCCTTCAAAGTTTCGTGATTAATTTATACAATTTTCAATTAATCACCATCGAACATCATCTTCAACCTAAGGGGCCGTTTACCAAACACTTATCCGGTAAGTGCTTACCTGTAAAATTTAACACTATTATTTAATTATCAGATAAGATTTAGTCCACAAAAACGACATCGTATGCAACAATTCACACGGTAAGCGCTTACCGTGGTAAGAGTCGTCGCCCTCACTTACCGGGTAAGACTCTTGGTCCTTGTCTCGCTCTTACCGGATAAGAATATTGGTCCTTATTATATTCATCCGATGAAGCAATGTTACTTGATAAGCGCTTACCCGAGTAAACGTTTGGTAAACGGCCCATAAGTTTACAACATATATCGTGCTCTTATTAAACATAATAGATATCACAAAACCCAAAACATATGCCACAAAAATACAAAATCAATAAAATGTAAAAACCAAGAAAACAGAGATGGAAAGATTAAGAGAGGGAGAGAAAAAGAAGTTACTTTTCCAATTTTTGAGTATTGGGAGGTATTTTTGTTAAAAAAGCATATTTTTGATATATGTGCTTTCTTGAGCATAGAGACTCAAATTTCACTAACAATTACATTAAAATTATTAATTAAATATTAAATAATCATGTATAAAAAAGTAAAATTTTATTATTAAAATACGATAATTGTCCAGATACAGTATTCGGTCAATAATCAATAAAAATTTAAATATTCATTTACCCAAAAAAAATATAAATTTCATTTTCATGAACTTATATTAAGGTATAATACGACAGTATAAAAAAACATAAACTTTAATTACACTTCTGCTTATATTGTCTATTTTTTTTTTTTGTAAGAGTGCTTCTATATATACATACAAATCTTGGATTATCGGGGCTGCAAATCTGTTGAATTTTTTCTGATTGTTCTTTAAAGTTTTCAAGATTAGTCAAGGTGATACAAATCGACAAAGACGCTCGTCAACATTAACAAATTTTATTTTTACTATTTACAATTATTAGATACAAAATTTGTATGGCTATAATTAGCTGATATTAAAAAAAAAGGTCTAGTTATTAATTTAAAAAAAATAGCAATTTAAAAAAAATTGATAATTTGAGATTCATTGTTTTGGGGTAGAAACCAAGATGGGGTATTTTATATAAATTATTATCTTAATCATTAAATACTAAATAATATTCTATTTTCTAACATTTCAATTGTTTTCATACACCTTTCTTTGTTTGTATTTGAATTTTAAAACTAAATATAAAAAAAGAGAATTATATTATTTGTTTTTTTAAAAAGAGGTATGGTTGTCTTCATGCCTTGGCAACCTAATTTCACTTTTCTTTTCACCGGACTTCAACCATTTATTAACCAAAATACATAAATTTTCCCACTTTAATAGTTGATAATTAAAGCCCAACATTAAATTATTTCTTTTTTCCTCTTTTAATATATTTTTTTATTTTTATTTTATTATTCAGACAATCTTGAGGAAACTAAGCAACCCAAAATAGCTTTAACATCTAAAACACCCACAATTTTCCATACATCTCACAAAACAAATTCAATCTTTATCTTCTCATACTCTACCCTCATTATTCTTCTAAATTCCAAACTTTTATTTCTTTTTTTTAGGAAAAAAAATATATATTATTGATCATCTTCCTCATGCAGACCACCGTTTCATCTGCATATTTTCATATGTTTCTTCTTCTTTGATCTAAAGCTTTCCCAGATTTTTGTTTCTTCTAAAAAGATTTTTCAAATTTTTAGTCTTTTCTGTTTTAAAATTTCTGGGTTTTGGGTTTTAAGTTTAAAAAAAAAAAAAAAAAAAAAAAAACTGTAAAATATCATTTGATATTTTGGGTTTTTTTTTCTTTGAAGATTATAAAAAATCAATGTGTTCTTGTTGAAGGGTCTTGTTTATTGATTTTTAGTTTCTTGTTATTTTTGATGATTGAGGGAAGGGAAGGGATGAATAGTAGTGGGGTTACAGTGGTTGGATCAGATGCACCCTCGGATTACCATATTGCTCCGAGAACTGAAGCCCCTAGTAAGCTCGCCACCACCGGATCAGCACCTCAATCTATCACAAGCCAAATGGCTGCCTCTTCTCCGACGTACCCGGCGGCTCCACCACCGGCAGGTGTAACACCCTTGACAGAAAAGAAGAAAAGAGGCAGACCCAGAAAGTATGCTCCAGATGGGTCCGTTAGAAAGGCTTTATCTCCAAAACCCATCTCATCTGCTGCACCGCCAGTGATCGACTTCTCCACCGGAAAAAGAGGCAAAATCAGGCCTACCTCCGCCGGAAAACTCCAACGGCAACCACCCAAAGAGACGGAAGCTTTAGGTAGCAACAACAATCTCCTTCTCAATAAAGATCTTCTTTATGTTGCTAAAATTTGAGTCTTTTATGTTAATGAGAACTGGGTATTATTTGATCTGACGGAATGATTTCAAGATTTTTAAGGGCTTTGATTGAAGTGGGACCTAATTGAATAGAACCCTTCCAACATAGATCTTGATGTTAGTATATAGTTCTAGAAGCGCTCTGCTTTTTATGTGTGGAAGTTGGTGAGTGAATTAGGAGAATCTTGAAACAGACGATTCTAATTTTGTTGCTTACCTTTTGGGATATATATACATACATAGATACATACAAATGACAAGAATGAACAGAGAAGAAGATAAAGCTGAGGTTTTAATGAATCTTTTTCCTAAAAACCTAGGTTTGGATTGACTAAGGTTTCAAGAACTAAATGACTTGTATTGTAGTGTCACTCTCTCTATATTTAGCTACACTTGTAAAGATCAAGACTTTGCTTTTATTATGGTGTGGGGTTTGGTTGTTGGCTCAAAGTGCTTATCTGTTCTGTTCAACAGTGGGGTTTTCTTCCACATTTTATGTCTTTCTGGACTCGGGTTTGCGCCTGTTTTGTCTTCCACGATTGTTTGATGTTGAAGGCGCGAGTTCTATTTCATGATATTTGAAGCACACTCCATAAATATGTTCATAATTGGATTTTATCTGTTTGAGTTAAGAGTCTTGTAGGATTACATCTGTATTGGAGTGTATAAATACTTGAATTCGTATTTAGGGTTAAGAACATCGGTCTTTCATTTGTATTGTTTTCCAGTTGCAGTTCCTGTTGATATAGTCATGTTGCATTAACCAAATCAATCTATTATGTTTTCAAGGAAATATCTGCTTTATTTTACTCTTTGGGGTAGAGGTCTGGTCTGTGTACATCATATGGGACCCTGCCTCTAGGTGGGATAGACTGGGTTTTTTTGGTTTGATTATACAAAGCTACTTGTTCTTTCTGTAGGTGCATTTGTTGATCTTTTGTTTGGTTATTTGCAAAACTTTGTATCTTGGGTTCTTTGGTTTTAGTTAATAATATGCCAATGATTGTGAGAACATTACATTCTTTAGGAATTCTAGTTAATTGTTCATTGTTTTTCTCTCAGGTGATTGGGTTTCATGCTCAGTTGGCGCCAACTTTATGCCTCATATCATCAACGTAAACACCGGAGAGGTAAATTTTGTCATTTCAACAAGCATTATAAGTGTAGAACAGCAGAAATTTTCTTTATTTTCGTTTATTTTGCGTTCACAAATTTGATTTTGGGTTGCATTAGGACGTGACGATGAAAGTTATATCGTTCTCCCAACAAGGACCCCGTGCAATATGCATTTTATCGGCAAATGGTGTCATTTCAAGTGTTACCCTTCGGCAGCCCGACTCCTCTGGTGGCACATTGACTTATGAGGTGCTGTATCTATGCTAAACTTGTCTTAATTAGTCGTATTTTTTAGAAATCCAATCGGTTTTGATCGCTTATAGTGTTGCACTGTATGAGTCCCATTTATGCGGTATCAGAAAAAATAAGATCTGTAAAATAGAGAACGACGAATGATATGTGATCTTGCTGTTGTTTGGTCTTGCCTATTGTCAAACTTTCTTGAAAATCTGAGACCTTTTTCTTTCTTTCTTTAGGGGCGTTTTGAGATCCTTTCGTTGGCGGGATCTTTTATTCCATCTGAAAGCGGGGGCATAAGAAACAGATCTGGTGGGATGAGTGTTTCTTTGTCAAGCCCAGATGGGCGGGTAGTTGGTGGCAGTGTGGCGGGTCTACTGGTGGCCGCCAGTCCTGTGCAGGTACTTCCCGATCTCGAATTGATTTCATTTGTTCCAATATGTTTCGTCATTTTTGACCTTTTGTATCCGGTTATAAACCAGATTGTTGTAGGAAGTTTCTTCACGGGTGTGCAGCAGGTGCAGCACGAACAGAAGACCAAGAAACAAAAACCAGAAAACATAACGATCACAGTCCCTACGACCGCCGCAGTTCCGGTGGCGGTACCCGTACCAGTACCAGTACAGGCACCAGCTGCCACCAACGAGCCGCCATATTCCACCACTGCAAAACAAAATCCGTCGTTTCGTGGAGATAACTGGTCTTCCTTTAATACCCCTGAGTCGAGGAGTAAAGCAACTGACATCAATGTGAGTCTTCAGTAGTAACAATACGACACACGCGTAACTTTGGTACGTAAACTGACTGCATTGGCGATTAGACGACGGATCTTTATCTCACCTTTTCTCGATTTGTTTGTTTGTATGTAAAAACACGACGAATGGTGATGTTGGATCGAGCTCTTAATTTCTTTCGGGTTTGTTTTAGTTTGAATTAAGTTTGATGGGGTCGATATTAGATTTGATGATTAGATTAGTTTTTCGAGCAGATGTTTCATCTTCATCGTCATCGTCATCATTGTTAGGTGTTGTCTGTAGATGATTTGGATTTTCCAATTCATCCCGACTTATTTCATCAAAATTATGAACTTGTCGTAAATCTTGGTTTTTTTACATGACATCCGGGCCAACTTGTGTGTATCTCGATTAATCTCATAGGTTCTCAATAACAACCTGGAAAATCCCTGAGTGCCACTGGAGAGTATATATCCTTTATTTGCTGGTTAAGTTGATCCTCAATATTAGAGCTGTATGGATAAAATTGTCTGTATGAGACTATGAGTTAATCCACTTGTATATATATTTGAAATGTTTTTATTTGGGAGAGTTTTTTTATAGACGGAAGAAACATGATTTTTAATTGGAAAAAATATGTTTGGAAAGAAAAAAAACTTGGCTTGATAAGCTATTTTTTATATCATCGAGTCACTATTAAATAGTTATATATAGTTTGATGAAAAATGTTGTATTTAAATGATAATTTTGTCTCAAAACACTCCATTAAAAAACCATAAAGTTTTGTTAATAATATATATATATATATATATATGTATTTTAATTATAATTTAAGATGTCTTTTAATAATATTAATTAACATTATTTGCCTCAATCAATGGGATTAAATATGTATTTAAAAATATGTAATAATATTAATTAACATTATTTAAAAAGAAAAAGGAATTGTTATAAAAAAAATATTAATTTATGAAGTAGTAATAAAGAAGGAAGAGCATGTGAGCCAAAGATTAAAGGAGAGTTTGGTAAAATCCCACAATGAATTGATTTTAATATTTTGTACGTTTTTTTTAATATGATGAAATAAACAGTAATTGCATTAACAAATAGTTCGTATGCATACCGTATTTAATAGCGTATTCACTTTTGCATGTGTCTTTAATAAATATTTAAATAATTAGACATTGTTTGATAAATATAAACGAGTTTATTTTTGGAAAATAATCAATAATTTACAAACTATGTCATTTTCAATGATTAAGATGTCGTTTACCCACGTAAAAGCTAACCAAGTCACATTAACTTACTGGATGAATATGACGAAAACCAAGAAGTTTACCCGGTAATAGCGAAAACAAGGACCAAGAGTCTTTCCAGGTAAGTGAAGGCGACGACTTTTAACATAGTTAACTATTACGGTATTACCGGGTAATTGTTCCATACGATACTGTTTTGATGGACTAAAATCTTACCTGGTAAGTAAGTGATGATATTAGATTTTGCCGGTAAGTACTTAGCCGGGTAAGCATTTAGTAGATGACCCCTAAGTCGATGGACTATTTTTTTTTAATAAAAAACAATTAAACATTCTCATTTTGGATGATAAGTCCATGAACTATTATTTTGAATGAAAAATTCATTAAACATTCTCATTTTAAATGATTAAATCACTGAACAGTTTTTTTTTTTTTGTAATAGATAAATCATCAAACTTTTAAAAATTGGTTATCTACATTTTTTAACCAAAAAAACTATTTGTAATCGACTAGATATAAGTAAAAAAGAAACATAAATCAGTTTTATTGTTTCCAAACCTTACGCCCTTCAAACCCCTCACAAACAACGATATCAGTCCCTCTCGCCACTCCATGTCACCTCTTCGTTGTCCGTTCTTCATATCGGCTGTCATACTGTTGGCCTCTGCCATCGATTTCCCTCTTTTTGATCTATTTCTAAAAGGTTACAAGTAGTTTTACTTTAAGACATTTCTAGTCGGTTATTGATAGTTTTTTGGGGATAAAATGATGTAAGTAATCAATTTTTAAAAGTTTAATTGTATTGAAGGAAAAAGTTTAGAAACTTAATCATTCAAAATTATAAAGTTTGATAGTTTTTTCATTTAAAAAAAATAGTTCGAGGACTTGTTCATTCAAAATGAGAAAATTTAATGGTTTTTCATTCGAAAAATAGTTCAAGAACTTAATCATATAAAATGGGATAGTTCCTTGAGTTTTTCTGAACTTTTCCTTTATTTTTTGAGATTTTGTGTGAATTGAAATAAACTAACTTATTAAAATGCTACTTGGAGTATCGTTTAGGAGTTTTTGACACTTTTTCGAGTTATAAACTCTTATTAACACTACAACAAAATTGATCTTATAGGATGCCGGAAATCTAGAAGCATTTAAAAAAAACTTTATAGGACTTGAGTTTATAGAACGAAACCAAAAAATATCATGTCTAAAATTGTTACAATAGGTTTAAAGAATGTTTTTAGGCATTTTAGCAAATTTTAAGACGTTTTTAAAATAAAGTATCATATTAACTATTTTATACGTACCATATGACAGAATATCATATAAACAAACATGTCCTATAAAAAGATGAGTTTATAGAACATTTATCAAAAGTATGCTATAAAATAGCTAATATTACACTTTATTTTTAAAAATGTCCTATAAAAATTGTTAAAATGCTTAAAAGCATCTGAAAAACATATTCTACCGCTTTTAGATATATTTATAATTTAGTCATATAAACATAAGTTCTACAAAATATTCTATTAGAATACTTAGACAATCTAGACGTCCTATCAAGCCAAAAGCCAAATTTGTTATAGTGTAACGTTATTAGTTATTTATTACTATTAATTACAAATAAATATTAAAAAAAAGTATTACTAACTTTCATGTTTTGTGGGTTGGGAATTTAGATGTTTTTGAATCTTCAAATTTTGTTTTTGGTTTCTAGGTTGTAGGATAGATCAGTTTCCAGATTTTGTTTAGGGTTTTGACTTTTTTTGATTTTAGAGATATGTTTAGGAATTTGTACTTGACATCATATGGCATCTAACCCCAATGTATAAGGGTTAAAGCATCTAAACACAACACTCACGGTCCTAGAGTCCAACTCATAAGAATTCACCTTTACAATACCGAGACGACCATAATAGTTACACGAGCATCGATCATAAAGTGATGGCATCAAGACTCCTCGTTTATCAAACACGAATGAATCACATGCCTATGCATAACAATCTAAATTGCATGACTGCTAATGAATGAATAACACACTCAAACATGTAATCTTAATCAAAGTGCAATAAATGCATATCATGCCCAAGATCAATCAACGAACAAATTGACCGAGACAAGTATCCCCAAAACTCAAATAGGCAAAAATCAAGCCAAATAGGCCATACTTGTTTAACAACTCAAATAAAAGTCAAAATAAGCAATAAAACGCATTTAACTCACGTTTTATACAAGTACATTCTCTAGAAGTATGTTCGACACCAAAACTCCCCCTTTTGTTAAGACAAATCATTTTCCAAATGAAAACATACATTTCATACTTCAAAAATGTTTCATGGAGTTTATAAAACCAGATACACTAAAAGTGCATTAATCATCAAATAACGAACATAGATACAATAAATCATCAAAAGAACATACTCAGTGTCATATATTTACAAGTCAAATATATCAAAGCTCTAAATCTCGTCAAATACTCAACACGTTTAATAAATATAAAAAAAAACATCTCCAGGAGTTCAAAATGGACATTTTTAGCATGTACCGAGTTTTCACAAAGCAACATGAACTCATCTTACTAGGTTAAGTTATTTTATGTTTCAAATTCAAACTCTTAATTGCTTCCATAAGATAAGGATCTGAAATCCACAAGCAAATTTCCCCAAAGAAACTTTGTAAAACTATCAACTCGAGCCTAGGAAAAAACACCAATTGCAACCACAAGAGCAGATCCTGTAATAACCCAAAAAATTGGAATTATACAGGAGGGACCCTTTGTGTGATAGGAAGAAAGAAGAGGGTGTAATGTGCCAATTCCTTAAACTTGCACTTGGAAAACCATAGGTTTTGGAAACTTTTGCTGTAAAGGCTCCGACTTATATATGAATAATTATGGAGGCTTTGCTCTATCCCTGCTGCTACTTTCTCTACGCACGGGGCCGTCACGAGGGACGGTGATACGGACGCACGTCCAGGGCCCAAAAATATCAAGGGCCCCAAATTTCCCCATAATCTAAAAGAATTTAATAAATTAAAAAAAACCCAAAAAATTATAGCATATAATAAGAGGCAAAAAAAAATTTAATAGATAATAAAGGCACAAAAATATATCAACTAATTACATTGAAAAAGAAAATAAAAAAAATTTAATTAGTCATTCATTATATGCTATTGTTTATTGTCTCTCTAATTTTTTGTTATCTCCAATAAGGTCCAGTGATATTGGCTATTGTTATCTCTATATGCTTGAATGTTTTTGTGCTTCAACAATTCAACGTTAAGATTATGTGTTTGCTATTGCTATATATTTTTGTTGGATATTTTTATCAATTTCTGTTTTTATTGACTATTGTTATTTGGTTATCTTGTTATAATTGTTTTTTGTTGAATATTGTTATATATTTTTGCTTCTACATAAATTATTTTACTATTGTTTCACAATCAATCTATTGTTCTTATAATTTGACGTGTTTCATGATTTTGTGATTAATCAATAATTTTTTTGTATTAGATGTATTTAGTAATGTCTCTTACATATGTCATGTTCCACAAACTTTTAATCTTATCATCTTATTTTAGTTTAACAAAAAAAAGAAGGAAAATAGAATTTAGATATTTTCATCAATTGTTTGACTTATGTATATTTCATTGGGATTCCACCACACCACAAGATTCTATTTAAGTGCTCAAATAATCATTTGTTGAGCTTGCATATTATATGTTTAATTCAATATTTATTCTTACTGGATCTCAATGGATAATCTTTTCTTTCATATTTTTATTGATCCTCATTTGTCTACTTGTATAAAAAACCTTGATAATCTTCTTTATTATTGATCTCTCATTAACCCTCGTGATTACTTCATTCACACGAATTCTCTTTTTGTATCAAAATAACACATATTTCTTGTTATTAAGATTTCTTTCCTCACTAAATTATTAGCATTTCCTCTACTCAATTTTATACTAATGAAAAAAAATTATTGAATATTTTTTCGTACTTACCGAGGGTCACTAAAAGAAAAGTGAACTATGACGATGCACTTTTTAGAGATGACATGTTTCCGCTACAAGTTATAGCATGTCGTTGTTAGATACTTTTTCTGATGATAAATGAAATTTTTG